AGTTGGATCGTGCCTCCTCCGGGAAGTGGGGAGCGGAGTCGCGCGGCGCGTGGGGGCCCGGGAAGGGTTTGGATTGCGGACATCTGGGGTGACCATGAAGAATTGGGGTGCCGGGATGTGGGAGCGGGGTGCAAAGCACAAATTTGGGCGTGCTGTTCCAAGCGGGGCTTTAGGGAAACATTTGGAACTTGGAGTTGAGAGTAGGTGGGCAAGTGACCCTGGGGTGCACTGCCAAGCGCTCGGAACGTTCTGGCCTCCGGGTCTGACTCTGGGGTGGGGCCGTGAGTTGTGGTGCATTTTGCCTCCCTGCGAACTCTGAAGGGTCCTCTTCTTAACAGCTGGAGTTTGCCCCCTCCTTCCCAATCGAGTGTGGGCGCCAAGCCCCCCGAGTGCTCATCACCCTGGACCCTGGCGCAGAGCCCTGGCATCACGACTCGGAGGCTGAGACTCTGTCCTGGAGTCACCCAGGTGTGTCTGCGCTCGTGTGTGCGCGCGTGTGTTTTGAGATCTTAGCCACTATCGATCTTCAAGGTGTCTAGCTAGTGCCATCTCCCAAGAAGAGGAGGAGTTTTAATTGAGCATCCCAGTTGGAGCTCTGAGGCTCTGGGATGGCTCCAGCGGACTTTAATCCCTTTGCTAGGAATAAAGCGTTCTCTGCTGTGCTCTCAGGAAGTGCCCTCTTCTTACCAGTCTGGACATTACCACTTTAGCTCAGGGAAGCTGAAGGTCTCTACTTTTCCCCATTTTACGTTTGTCTTTGCCCAGAACCTCTTGGAGGCGGAGGCTCACACCAACCGGAGAGCCACCTGCAGTTCGTGTGCAGAGTGGGAGGGGGTCTCGGCGTTTTCAGAGTCACACCCTCTGGCTGCACCTCCCCCACTGTCCAGTCTAGGCAAGGGTTGAACTTTGGGGCTTTGCTGGGAGGGGGAGGGGAGTGATAGGCATCAAAAGAAACACCAAGACAATGACTCCTACTTGTGATTGGCTCTGGAGGTCCCTACTTTGGTTGGGATTACCAGCCTGCAGAGAAGGGGATGAAGGACAGGAGAACTGCTTGGTGACAGCTCTTGGTCCTTTTATCTGGGAACTTGATTTTTCTGTTGCTGATAAGCTGGAGTTCCCCCTTACCAATTGGAACAATATCCAAAGATATGTGCTTTGCCATCCTAGCAGGCATGTATGGCATCAATCTCCAGGGAAGAAAGCAGAGACGAGGCCACAGATAGCTCAGGGATGTGATGAGGTGGAGTGCCGGATGAGGCAAGAAACTCAGAGCTCACATTTGGGGAGGGAAGGTCTCCGAACTTAACTAAGATTTCTTTAAAGACAAAGCTTTTCTTTTAAAAGGCTTCTTTAAGAACCCACAAACCACTTGGCTTGTCTTTCAAAGGCAAGACCCTAGTGGGTCAGAAGAGTCTGAAGATTACCAAATTTGTTTTTGCATTGCCTTGACCATTCAGGCGCTTGCCTATGATTCTGGTTGCCCCCGGGGCATGCTTGGAAGCTCAAGCTGCTGGGTGACTCCAAGTGCAGAATTTCATGAGCCGTCAGGTGGAGCGAGAGGAACTTAACACTAAGAAACAGCCCCCGCGGTGTAGGCAGTGAGAGAGAGCACAGCAAGAGGGCTGAATTTCACTTCCTTCTATGAGGCACGTTGCACCTATCTCAGGTTCAGCTCTGGCAAGAGTGGGAGGCTTCGTGGATGAAAATTTGAAGTCATGGAGATTAGTGGGTAGAATTAGCAGGACACTTTGCTAGAGGCTGATTCAGCCTTCAAAATTAACCTGTGCTGGGCAGACAGCTCTGTTCCAGTGGAAGAGAGCTGAGCCAGGCAGCTGGAGTGACTAACTTAGGTCCCCTGTTCCAGGACACTCACCACACCACAGAGCCTGTTTGTTGTGTTGTGCAAGGAGGGGGGTGGAGATGTGCAGTAGGGCAGGGCTTAGCAGGTTAGGAGGGAACCTGGCTGCTCTACAATTTCTGGCTTTTGTTTTTGCTGCTGAGCCTGGAGTTCAGCTCAGACTTAGGGGAAAGCTTGGAGGTCCCTCCTCAGTGTGTGTGTGTGTGTGTGTGTGTGTGTGTGGTTAGTCTTGCTTATCTTTTCCCAGGTACCCTGTGATAGCACCTGATCTTAACCCTTGCTTACATACCTCAGTGCCCAAGCTTTGTGACCAGCCTAGGCTAGAGAGTATGGGGAAAGGTGGCTCTGGTGGGTGCAGGGAGGAGGTATGGAGGAACCTGACCATTGGGGTGGTCCATACTTTATGGGTGAATGTCATCCTTGGCAGTGTTTAATTACCAGAGTTGTGTATCATCAGAAGCTGGCTTGGTTCCCACAAATAAGAAGAATGGGAAAGGAAGGAGGGAGGGAATTCTTCGTCTGGCCTCAGTAGGACAAGCATCCCAGATGCCTCCATTGTTTTCTGACAGGAGAGATGGAGCCACCTCAGTGTGTGGAGGAGCTGGAAGATGATGTGTTCCAGCCAGAGGATGGGGAGCCAGGGACACAACCTGGGAGCTTGCTCTCTGCTGACCTGTTTGCCCAGAGCCAGCTGGATTGTCCCCTCAGTCGGCTTCAGCTCTTTCCTCTCACTCACTGCTGTGGTCCTGGGCTCCGGCCCATAAGCCAGGAAGACAAGGCCACCCAGACCCTCAGCCCAGCCTCCCCAAGCCAGGGTGTTATGCTGCCTTGTGGGGTCACAGAGGAACCCCAGAGACTCTTTTACGGTGAGTGCTCTTAGCCTTAGAGATTGGGGGAAATGAGGGGACTTTCCCTTCCCAAACCTGCTAAGTACTATTTCCTTCCCCAAACTGAACAACAGCCAGGGCTATCGATCATACATCAACTTCCAACCCTCTTCACCCGCCCTTGGGCCCCCAAAGGCCAGATGGCTTTGTTCTTTCTGCTTCTTCCTGGAGGGACCCTTGGGTCCATGCAAGAGAGCTCCTTTGACATCCTATGTCTTCTCCGTGGCTCTCTCTGCCTTTTGGGCCTGGGTGCTGATTTGTCTTTCCCAAAGTGGAAGGGAATGTTAAACCCTGTGTCACTGTTGACACTCCAGGAAAAGCCCAGCGAGCTCTTATACGGAAGGTTGTCCTGAAGACAGAAGGTGGCTTTGAGTTGTCATTTGGGACTTTCTGTGCTTGGAAGGGGAACTGGAGAAAAGAGGCTGGGCCTGCCTGGGCTCAGTGCCAGCAGAGGGTCTGTTTCCAAGGCTAAATCAGACAAGACCCCTTCATTTGTGGGCTTAAATGGTTTGTTTTATGAGAAATATGCCCTCCTCTGGCAAAAGGGCAGGATTAGACACTTGGTCTGTTTTCTTCTTTTAGCACACTGGCCTGTGGAGGGAGGGTAAAGGCTCAGAGGTCATCCTGCTGTGTCTGCGGGAGCAGACTGAGAAGCCGCTGCGCTTAATCTCAGAGGGAACTGCCCATAGGGCACTTCTGGAAAAGCAGTTCTGGCGGGAGTCTAAGAAGCTGGAGGAGGCCTGCTTCGGGCTGGAAGAGGGAGGAGGCAGGAGGTGGCAGGCGCCCCCAGCGGCCATTCTGGTGCCAGCACTCGGTGAGCCGACTTGGCTGCTCTGTGGGCTTCAGGAGTTTTCTCACTCTTTTCTGCTGCTGCTCTGATCTTTGAGTGCTGAGCCCAGCTTTCCTTAACTGTACTAGAAAAACGAAGACACTTTGGGTTTTTTGTTTGTTTTGCTTTTCTCCGTCTGCTTTGCTCAACCCAGGAACTCTTGAGAGTTTTCCCAGAGAAGAGCTTCAGAGTAATACGTTGAGGTCAATTATAGCTTGATAAATGACAGAAGACTGATGTGTTGTTCATCGTACACATTAGCACCCTGCGCTATGCCATGGTACTGAGAGTGGAGAAGAGGCAGGGTCTATATATATTCTTTCCTGTTTTTCCAGGATAAGTGTGTGTGTGTGTGTGTGTGTGTGTGTGTGTGTGTGTGTGTGATGTCTTTGAACCTAAACTCGTGTGCTAAATATTCAGCTACACTCTCAGCCCTTGTACCAACTTTCATATTCTTGGGCAGCTCTCCAAGATTGGCAGAATGCCCTGGTAAAGGCAGGCAGGCTGCTTCCTCTTCCTTCTATCCTAAGATTTACCAGTAACTCCAGGTCTTGGCCAGAAAGGATTGACATGGAGAAGATGGGGTGGGGGTAGAAAATGTTGAGATGTGGACCCCTCTATCTTTGCAGGCAATGCTGGCTACAGGCTTCCTCTCCCTGCCAGTTTCCCTGCAGGCTTGCCCCTTGGGGAGCAGCCCCCTGAAGGGCAGTGGCAGCATCGAGCAGAGGTACAGATCGCCAGAAAGCTTCAGTGCATTGCTGACCAGTTTCATCGGCTTCACATACAACAAGTAGGCACGAGGGTGGGGTGGGAGGGTGGAAGGGGGGCTTGAGGCTAATGGGGCTGGGAAGCCAGGGCCTGCCTTTGTCCTCTTGTCAGTAACCCAGGAGTTTGCCAGGCCTCAGGATATGTTTCAGAGTTTTGGCCTTGGCTACTGTCATTATGATGGACTGGGTAGGCACAATTAGATGAGTAGTCTTGTCCTTGAGAGCTCCGGCTGCCTACTTAGCTTCACAAGAGGTGGGAGATACTGCGCTTCCTTCCTGCCAGTGGGATGGCTTCCTGCAGTCTGGTTGGGCAAACTACCCGGACCCAAGTTGGGGGCTTGTCTCTTGTAGAATGCTGAAGTGAAACGGAGCAGTTGGGGGTGTGCCTGGCGGAGGAACAGTGGGAAACCGGTAATCAGTCCTGAGATGGGGCCTGAGTGGGGAAAGTGGTAGAACCGGTTGAAACCTGACACTTTCCAGCTGGGGAGCCACTCCTCACTGTCTGTGTCTGGGAACCCGGGCCTAGGACTCTGGAGATTGTACCTCAGAGTCTCTCCAGACCTGCGACCGGCGGCGGGGCGCTCTGCCTGGTGCTTGGCCGGCAGCCTGGCACCAGCCCCGCCAGGGCGGAGCATCGCGTGTCAGCCGAGCATGTGGCAGAGTCCATCAACAAAGGCGGCGGCTGGCAGGCTCGTGCTGGAGCCCGTTGTGCCATGGATGGGAGGCTGTCTTGCTCGACAGCCTAGCCACCGTCTGTGCTGGGCCCCCAGGTGCTTAACCCTTCCCAGACTGGCTGGCTTTTTGGATGGCTGCCAAGGCAGGGGAGGAGCCTGAAGCTGGATCCTTGCTGGTACAGATACTACCTGGCAAAGCCACAACACAGGGAAATGAACACGATCTCTACCTATAGGACTGTGTTCCTATTCTAGCAGTGTGTGTGTGTGTGTGTGTGTGTGTGTGTGTGTGTGTGTGTATCACAGGAACAATTAGCCAACAGGGCTAGGCTCAACCTGGGAAACTTAAGATGACCAGAACAGTTACTGGTAGTGATAACTTTGACTTGGGAAAAAACCATTGCCAGCAGCAGTGGGTGGAGGAATTGACCTTGAGTTTTCTGAGAACAGGCCACAGAGAGATTTGGGGCCACAGCTATTTCTGATGGGTTTTCCCCAGCGCTTAAGTGATTTGGAAAGAAGGTGGCCCTGTGCTGAGGTTATAAGGCAGTCTGGCTAATTGCTGTGGCCCAGACACAGCCCCTATTCCCCGTATGATTATATTGTACAAACTTGGCTTAGTGAGTCCCCTGCAGTCCGTGTATAGATGCCTTCTGATTCTTACTTTCAGCCTCTTGGCCTCCTTCCTGTCCATTTAATCCACCTTGGTTGTACCGGTCCATGGCTCAGCCCAGCTCTTGGTGTTTGGTCCTGATAGTGATGAGGATGGAAAGACACAATGGCTGTAGTCTCTAGCCTCATTTAGAGCATATCTGGAAGACCTTCTTTCTTCATTCACAATAATCTGGCCTCTCTTAGCAGCTGTTTCCCATGATAGCCTGCTTTCCATTAGTGAACCCTGGCATATTGGACACTAGACTAGAGGCCTCCTGGCTGCTGGACCTAGGTTCAGGAGAAGAGACCATACATATCCTGAGGCTTTCTTGGACTGATAGCCCCCAAATCATGACATGACTTATTAATTATAAGTGCTTGGCCTTAGCTTTAGGCTTGTTTCTAGCTAGCTTTTCAAAACTTAAATTAACCGGTTTCTATTAATCTATGTGCTGCCCCCAAGCTCGTCTACCATCTAGGTACTGTCCACCCTGCTTTCCTGCTTCTTCCGTGTCTGTGTCTGGCAGGCTGGGCCCCAGCTGGCTGCCCCCCTCCCCTTTTCTCTCTGCCCACCAATCCTGCCTAGCCTTCCTCTGCCTAGCTATTGGCTGTCCAACTTTTTATTAGACTAGTAAGATACCTTAGGCAGGCAAGGTGAGACAGCAACACATCTTTACACTAACAAATTCAGCATATCTTCATTTAAACAATTATTATGCCACATATCTTTACATAGACTAATATTCTGTTCCACAACAGACCTTTCTCCCAGTTTAGGGTTGCTTCTTTGAGGGCACAGGTCAGTTCTAGACGAGGTGCTAGTATTTCATCTAGAGCGCCCCCAAGAGGTTGGAAGGAGAATCGCACGAGAGTGTTAGCTGTCCTTTAGTCCTTGTAATAGATTTCCGTGGTGATGATGAGATGGAGCCTCAGCCCAGCTGGCCATGACTCACTATGTGACTGAGGATGGCCTTTATTTAGCTTGCGATCCACGTCTTAAGTACTGAGATGGCAGAATTATACCACTATGCTCGATTTATGTGGTGCTGGTGACCAAGCCAAGGGCTCCCTGTATGCTAAGCAAGCATCCAGCCAACTGAGTTCTACCTCCAGTTCCCCAGTTGTTGTTGGCATTACTCTTCCTCTTCTCCTGCACAGGGAGGTGTGGGACATGACAAAGATGAGGGTTTATCATGGGATTGGAATTGGGATTATCTGTTGAGGTCCAGGGCAGCAGGTTTCAAACTGTCCTGGTTGTCAATTTATGTTGGCCACATTCCTTATACCTACCTCCATGCCATTTGCTCTCTCACCATATTCCCTGAGAAGTGTGGCGGGGTGCAAGACTAACCTGGTTCCCCAAGGGGCTGCTTCAGAGTGACTTCTCTGGATTCATGGGCAACGGATCTATGGACAGAAGTCATTGGGTGCTGTTCTCTGCTCATTCCTTGGGTTTCTTTCTCTCTCTCTTTCTTTCTTTCTTTCTTTCTTTCTTTTTTTTTTTCTCGAGACAGGGTTTCTCTGTAGCTTTGGAGGCTGTCCTAGAACTAGCTCTTGTAGACCAGGCTGGTCTCGAACTCACAGAGATCCGCCTGCCTCAGCCTCCTGAGTGCTGGGATTAAAGGCGTGCGCCACCACCGTCCTGCCCATCATTCCTTGGGTTTCTAAAGCAGTGAGAAAGTTGGAGGTGAAGTGAATGGAGGTAAAATGTTCCCTCCCTCCTTCCCGCCCTCCTTCCTTCTCTCCTTCCCTTCCTCCCTCCCTCTCTTCCTTCCTTTTGGGGTTGGGTAGGTGCGACAAGGTCTTGCTATGTAACATAAACTGCCTTCAGTCTCCCTGAGTTCTGGGATTATGGGCATGTACCACTGTGTGCAGCTTAAGGAAAAGTGTTTTCAAACTTCCCCATGTATTCCGCCTCTTTCTGCCGGGTCAGAGGGAGACTCCTGTTCTGTTCCTTTTGGCTGGCAGGCTGTAGCAGAGATTTTTAATGCCTCGCTGACAGGGATTTCCTTAGATTTGGGTTCTGAGAGGGTGGCCCCTCCAGTTTCTCTGCAGAGTGGGGAGAATCAGGTTCAGTTCCTGACAAACTCACAGCTGCCCTGTTCAGGAGGTCGGAGCCTCTGTTTCTCTGTGTTTTCTGTGAATGGCTCCTCTAGCCAGTGTGGGCCTAGGGACAGTCGGTACCTTGTTTCCTTCCCTGCAAGAAAGTCTGCTATGGCCAAGTCTGAATGGATATTTCTAGACAGTGTTGAGAAGCTCAAAAAAAGTAGCTACTGTAGGCCCTTGAGTAAGTGAACAAGAGGGGTAACGTCATTTATCTTGGAATTTTCTTCCTCTTACTTGGCCCGGGAGTGGCTCCATTCAGAAAAAAAAAAAAAATCAGATTTAGAAATTCCCTAGATAGTAATTAGATATTTTGGAAAGTGGTATCTAAAGAAACTTTCAATCCCTTGTTCGAAACCATCTTCATTTGTAATATCAAAGGATGGATGGTGGACTTGCAAACAGGTCTGAGGAGAACCCCCTTCTTGTCACTCACATAAGCTGTGTTTGTGGGCAAATCATTTTACTGGTCCAGACCTCAGGTTCCAAGGTTAACCTTGCAGGGTTGTTGTAAAAGGCCTTTGGGAATTGTAATAAAAGCACTATTGGCATTGGCTTGAGCTCAGGTGAGTATTAGAGGCCTGCCTAGCATTCTGGAAGCCCTGGCTTTGATGCTCAGTGCTGAAAAAAACAAAAACAAAAACAAAAACAAAAACAAGAAATTATGATAGCTTGGAGAATTGAACACATGCTGTTAGCAACGCTGGAGCAAGGCAGGAGGATTGCAAGTTCAAGGTAGGAAGATAGTTCAAGGGCCACCAGGGCAACTTAGTAAGATCCTGTCTCAAAAAGGGAACAAGAATATAGCTCAGTGGTAGGAAACTTGCCTGGTGTGTGCACACATACACCGTGAATTTGGGATTATGCTTGGACCTGACTTTATAATTCTTGGGCACCTCTTTTGGAAGTTGTACCCAGATTGGTGTTTGCATGGTTCATTACCTAGCAGCCTCTCTGCCCAGCATCCTGGATCCTTTGTTCTGGGAGCCCCCAATTGCTTTCTGAGCCTTAGGATGCTCTCCATGTTGGTGAGTGGTTTTCTGGAGCAGAGACCATGGCTAATGAGGTCACTCAGGCTCCAGAGAGAACAGCACTGTGCAGGGGCCTCAGAGATTTGTCCTAGAGTGAAAAGTGTCCCTAGGAAGCCATCTTCTGTCCCAGGAGTAGGAGGTCTATGCAGGACAGTGCTAGGGGAAGAATGGGGTTGGGGGAGGGGTCTCTGAAAGCTCAGTGTTCGTGAGAGCCTGTGCTGGGGCTTGGGGGCCCTGTGTTTGCTCTGTGGCTGGCTCTGTTTATATCACTCGCTATATTTAGCTTCTGAGTCATCAGCGTGGCAGACTGGAGGCCGAGTTCCCCACACACTCTGCACCTGACTGTTCTTTCTTCCAAGAGAAGGCCTTCTAGTTCCGGGCAGTTCATCCCTCTCTGCCCACCAAGACAGGCCATGGGGATGGCAGCAAGCTTTGGTGTGTTTTCAGGGTGGGGGGAGGTGGTGGGAAGACAGGATTGGAGGAAGCACAAAGAAGAATAAAGAAAAGTGCCTGGTTTGCCTTTTGATCCATGCCTGGCAAGTCAAGAGGGCACATTCCATG